GGAAGTCCTATAGCTACAAGGAAATGAATTCTGTCAACAACCTGAGCGAGCTTGGAAGTGGATTTTTCTGTAATTGAGAGCCTCCAGTTGAGAATATAAACTCGCCAATACCTTAAATGCAGTCTTTTGAGACCCCTAAGCAGAGTATCAAGCGAAAATGTGCTTGACTTCCTGACCTATGTATGGGAACTGTTAGATAATAAATATGTTTTTTAAGCCACTAAATTTGTAGTAATTTGTAAGAAAATTTCCCCAATCAAAATTAGTATACTGATTAAAATCTAAGCTCCACAAAGGACTTTTGTTCTGTTTTTGCTAGAGCAAGCATTTAGCATTGAGTAAACGTTTCTGTCTGCCATTTAAAACATTAGGCAAATTGGTTCTGTCTTCAGTGGGCATTTATTTATCTCCTGTCAAGACCCGCACTTTGGGCTGTTGTCCTAGTTCATCTCATCACTGAATCAGTCCATGGTCACCCCCGCCTTGGGACATTTCACTGTCCTCCCTGTGCTCTCCACTTTCTATTCCACTCGTCCAAATTCTATCCACCTTTGTGCAGATTCAGCAGATTCAAGGTGCTTTACAACGTGCTTCCATTTCAGTGATTTAAACTAAAAACTGTGAATCATAGTTTAGAATTTTTCTATGGTCTACATTTAAAGCAACTGAATGTTCTTTTGGAATCAACTCAAATTATTTGGCCACTAATAAGCAGATATTCTCAGGTTTATATTTTCATTGCTTTTAATGCCTTATTCTCAAAACATTATTTTAAATTTCTGTGTGCAGCTTATGTATGTATGTATGTATGTGCATAGTGTAGTTAAATGAATGTTATTATTAATATTTACTATTTACATGCTAATTATTATACTAGATTCTACAAACTCTTCTTTACTTCTTTGAATATCAGAACAATCCCTGTAAGTTTTTTTATTCTCCTTTTTACTGAGGGAACTAAGCTAAGGAAGCTATAAGATATAGTCATTTTAGATAACTTCCTCAAGGCCACACAACAAATTGGCAGAGCTGGGAATGGCACTTAGGTTTGTGTGACTTCAAAGCCAGTGCTTTTTCCAATACCCTAAAGTAAATTATCTTCTCAATTAAATAAAAAGTTATATGAAACAAAATATTTACAAAATATATGCAAACAAATATTTCACATTACCTTATATATCTATATACTTATAAAAATGAGCTATTCATCTTTGACCTTGCTATCTTTTTTTTTAAGGGTTTATCAGGTTAGACATTTTTAAAGGTATCAATATGAGAAAATTAAATCAATCACAAATTCTCAGGTCCATCTTAGAAAAAAAGAACATATTACATCTGAATTAGCAAAAAAAAAAAAAGTGTATGTATGTGAGAAATGGGTAAATATAGGAATGAAGTGATTGTTTTTCTGTCTATTTATTATGAGTGAGAAAGCAAGCTTAAAAAAGAAGGTATATGAGCGTGTGGTTAAAATATTGATGGACCTATCCAAAGAGAAATGTATAAGGTCATGGACTAACCATGGCACACACTAAGTGGACAACTGTGCACCTGCGTAGCAGTAAATTCTAGTTATAAACATCAAAAGCACCACACCCTTACTTAATATTCTAAAGAGAATAAATCTTCCATGTATAGATCACAGGGTCAAATTCAAATTATATTTTGTATTTTTGACTCAGAATTGTAACTACCCGAGAACTGTTTTATAATCTAAGTGAAACATAATTTAAGGTCAATTTTCTAGCCTGGGTGAGCTTGTGTGTATGTGTTTTAAGCTTTAAGCATAGCCAGGAATATGCTTGTTTGGTGTGGAGTAACTAGAATCATTCGAACCCATGAGATTTGACTTATATAATAAAGCAACATAACAGAAAAACTCCATCTTTCTAGATAAATAGAGAAGAGTCATAGGGCTAAAAGCTGATGTTGCCAATATATACAACTTTGATTTATAAAAGAAAGAGGATTAATTGCTTCAATGACATTGATTCAAATGATAGCTTCAAAGAATACTGATGAGAACATTGTGTCCTTGTAGTATAATCACTCCTAGTCAGTTACCCCTAATTCATACTGAATGGAGTCACTGAGACCATTTACTAGGTTTTTATACTCCTTATGTAGGGCAAAGAACAGTTTTATTGAAATTATGATAAATGGTAAAGATTTATATAAAGTTTTTAGAAACAAAAAACATGAGGAAAACACAAATTTGAAATTCTCAATTAAGAAATAAGAGTTGGTAACTAGTTGTAATTTTAAAGAATTTTGAACTTTAAAAAGAAGTGAGAGAAAAGGCCGCTTCACAGGTAAATATGTTGATAATAAAATATTTCCCCAGTCTTTGCCATATAGTAATTGACTTTTGACTAGGGAAGACTTGTTCAGTTTTAATCATAGAAATTCAGTGGTTAATAATAATTTTATTAATAATAATAATAGCAACGATAATAATAACATAAGCAATGATCATAACTAAAAATGTGTCAAGTGCTTCCTGTATTCCACCCTTTGTGTGTCTTAATTTTTCTAACAAACCATATGAAGTAGATACTGTTATTACACTACTTTAAGGAAAAATTTTAGTGGCAAACTGCAAGAATGTTTACCTTGAAGAATTGGCCGTGTGTATGCCTAGATGGACAGGAACAGGTTCTGGAAAGAGTAAGTAAGCTGCCCGAAAGATGTTGCCATGGTGTCCTCCCTTTCTTGAATCATAAGCCAAAGATAATTTAGAAGTAATTTATTCAAACCATTTGTTTTTTTCAAGAGTAATTTGCAGTTAAATTGACAACTTTTTCTTATAGCTCTTTATATTTTTCATGTTACTTTTGCTACATTGCATCTAGATTTTTCATCTAAATCCCTTGAGATAAATTAGTATTGCTATCATTACATGGAAGGAAAAGTTGCTAGATAATTAAGAGCTATGGTGTCAGATGGCCTGAGTTTGTATCTTGACTTGTTCATTTATTAATTATGTTAATTAAAACATATTATTTAACCCCTTTGTAACTCAAGTTTCTCATTATAAAAATAAAAATTATAGTAACTACATCATGAGTTACATTGATATGAAGATTAAATGGAATAATACAAGTAAGACATTTAGAACATAGTAAAATCTCAATGCATATTAGCTCTCAGTAAACCTATTTTACAGGTGAACAACCTGAGACAGAGTCAATATCATAGTCATTGTCAAACTAAGAATTCACAACCACGACTTTTAGTTCAACGTTGTTGCCCCTCCACATTTCCCATGCCTCAAACTTCACTTCTGGATCCTGAGGCAAGCCAAATAATTATTCCATGGGATTTTAAAATTTACATAACAAAATAATAATACAATAATAATATCTAATATTTATTGAGTACATACTGTGTTTTAAGCACCGTGCTAAATCTCTTAAATAGATTATCTCCATTAATCCTCAAAATCCTATTACATAGATATTATTATTTCATTTATTTACAGATGAAGAAGGCAAGGGAAAGAATATTTAAGTGGTTAAGTAGCTGCCCAAGGACACTACCTAGTAAGTTCCTGAGCCAGAAATCAAATTCGGGCAATGTGGCTTCAAAGCTCAAGTCTTAACATTCACTTTCACCTATATTATTTTCTGACTAATAGAATTATTATTAAAGAGAATTATTAACTAGAATTATTCACTTTCACACATACAATTAGAATATCTTCCCATATTTAGAGTGTAAAAATGCTGTTCTTTGATAGAGATTGGCCAAGCAAGTATATTACTGTATTTTTTAAAATATATAAATTTCTTCATTTTTCTTTTAGGTTTTAATTCAAGAAACAATACATGTTCACACTATATAAACTTTATTTAATATCTATTTAAATGTATTAGATTAGCTGATACTCAAGACCCTTATTCTAAGATTTCATGCTTTATTATTTTTTTTTATTTGTATGGTTTTAAGAGTAGGAAATATATTCATGTGGTTCAAAAATTTTACGTACCAAAGAATATTAACTTAATGAAGAATCTCACCCTATTCCTTTCTTCCAGCCACACAATTCACTTTCCCACAGGCAACCACGTGTTGGGTTCTTGTTTATCTTTCCAGATATATTTACATAGATACAGTTAATACATTTATACATTTATATACATATGTCTTCCCCTCCTTATTTTTATACTTATATGCCTTATATGGTAGCACCAAATAAGTTTGTTCCAATTTATAATCATTACTAAATTATGAAATACCCATTTTAGGTTTTCCATTGATGCTGGGGGGAACGTTAGCATTAATGTTTCATGCTTACATAAGGTGACAAATTGTACATTCTGGGGATGTTGGCAGGTTGCTCAGCACCAAAGTTAAACAAGATAGCTCTTAATTTAAAAGTATAAAACCATATCCATTAAAATGTTAATGATGAAACTAAAGATTTTTAAATAGCTATCTAAATATAAATATGTACCTAAAATTTCAATGTAGTTCTTGGAAGATAAATTTTAGTTATTGCAGAAGATCAAATTATAACATATATATTTTTTTCAGTTATAAAAAATCTCAATGTCATTAATAATTTTATTTCTGTAGACTTATTACCTTATATAGTTAATTAACAAGGCACCTTGATCACCATTTTTACTTTAACAACCTAAAGAGAAAAATCTCAAATGTCAACATCTCTGCCAAGAACTTTTCATAAATCACTCTACCACTTGTTGAGAACAAACCATGTGGCCTAATTTTTTATAGACATCATGAAATGTAATTTGTCCAACAATTCTATAAGGTTAATGGTATCAATCCAAACTTAGAGATCAGAAAACTGAGGCTTCACAATTTCAACTAGCTCAAAGTGACACAAGTAATAAGTTTTAGTAAGTAGATGAATAGGTAAAATTTCCCACAGGTACTAGTCACAAACTCAATAGACAAAAACAATTTTGAATGAATGAATTAAATATGCAATAGATGTATAATCCTGCTATAGCCATCTAAAGCAAATGTCTTACCTCAAAAGCAAATGACAAGGAAAGGATGAGAGGCTTCAGATGACCAAATCTACACAGCATTAGGAACACCAAGCAACGGAAAGTTTCCAGAATGGCTGCCTTAGGTCTAAAATAAATGTCATTAACATGCATTAGCTTTAAATATACTCTTTACATGTTTGTATGTTATAATTAGTACAGTGATACACATTTATTATAATTTTCAAGAAATATGTAGTATTTTAACAAATTTGAGGACCATGTGGCTCTGAAGCTATTTGTAAATAGGCATTGAGCTAAGAAATAAAGTGCATCTTTTTAAAGAAAATCTATACTTTATCAGTTTATTATTTAGTTTTGGCATTGATCAGTTAGGGTGAAGCATACACTCAACTGATAAATAAAATATTACGCAACTAAATTTCTAAGGTTTAGAGTAAATGATATTTTCCTCACTCAATATCTTTATAGTTCATTTATTTTAAAATGACTTGTTAGGAGGACTGATATAATTAACTACTCAAATAATGAACAATCAAATTCTGAAATATTAGGAACATGAAAAACATGGTTATGCCTAATATGATCAGTAGTATAAATACAGAATTTTATTTTGTGATGAATATTTTCCATATATATATATGGTAACCTTGAAATTCAAACTAAAATATCTGAAATAAGTGTGTTTATGTATTTGAAACAGAGTTGAGTGTCATACACAGATAAGCATTTATTGACTGCCTTAAAATGATAGAAATAAACAACTACTTTATTAGCTTAAAATAGCTTCATATGATAGTCATCTAACACTCGTTGGATAATAAATATTTTTGTAAAAGACAAGTAGTATTGTTAGAACAGCTGACTTTTCTAACTAAAATATTCTTGAATTAATATCATTATAATACAGCTATATATTATTATAGTACAGAGATATAGAGAAAAAGTGAAAAACAACTAAATATATTCGTTGAACTTAAAATTTTCTTCTCTAGTCTATTATTATGACCAATTGTTTCTGTAAAATTGAATATGACAGCATTTTAGTACAAAACACATTATTAATTGTAATTTAAACTAAAAAAAAAAACCAGGGTAATAGTTTATGACTTGTTTGCATTCAAGTAATGTGATTAATTTTTTGTGAAAAAATATTAAGAAATAATTTCCCCTTGTAAAGTAATATTATAATTCATTCCTACAAACTGATGTTAAAAATTGATATCTGGGTAATTATTAATAAAAAATAAGATTTTTATTTTAAAACACATAGATTTTGTTAATTATGTTACATGGTTTACTTTTAAACTTTTATATTGTGAAATGAAACATACATATAGAGAAGTATACAAAACAAAATATGCAGTTTGATGACTTTTAACAAATAAGTAACCATGTAATCACCACCCAATATCAGGGACTTCCTATTCCCTCAGTATTTTCACCCTCCCTCTATCTCAGCAAGAATCACTCCTATAACTTTTATGATAATTACACTTTCTTGCTCTTTTTTAATTTATACTTTACCACTTTAGTATAAATTTCTATAACTAGTCTGTAGTTTAATCTTTCTTAACTTTTTATAAGTGGGATTATATTGTGTCTAGCATCTTTTACTCAATGTTGTTAGTGAGATTTATCTATGATGCTGCATGTAGCAGGAGTTCTTTCTTTCTTCCTGCATAGTATTCCACGGTGTGGATATACAATATGCATGCATCCATTCACCTCATGAAGAACATTTGGAATGTTGGCCATATTTTTTTTATTATCAACAATGCTGTCTTCACATTCTTTTACATGCTTTTAAATGTATTGGTTAATATATAAGTTGGATTGAATTGTTGGGTTATAAGATATACATATATGCTAAATATAAGTCAAATTTATGTTAGAAAAAATTCTCAGTTTTTCAATATAAACCCCTCTCTTCAGTGTATGAGCATTCCAACAGTTGGTATTGTCAATCTATTTAATTTTAGTCATTTGGGATATTAGTTCTTAGTTACTTATAAAATTTGCAAATAGCATCACCTACTTGAAGTTTTTAATTTTTTTTACTATTTTAATGAGTTAATTTTAGAAAAACTGACTTTTTAAATATTATTATAGTCTATTTTATTAATTTTATCTTTATAATTAGAAATTTTTGTGTACTATTTAATATTTTTACATACTCCAAGGTCACACAGATATATCACTATGCTATCTGCTGAAATCTGTATTGGATTTCCTTTCACTTTTAAATCTATAATCCCTAGACCCAAGAATTAAGGTAAGAAATATTTGTCAAATTTATTTTTCTTATTTCTATGTGGAAATCTAATTTTCCCAAGATCATTTATTGAAAAGACAGCCATTTCCCACGGCTCTGCAGGGAAACCATTGTCACAAATCAAGTCTAAATATAAGCATAGATATCTTTCTAGGTTTTCTGTTCTAATCTTTGTGCCAATAAAACATGTCTAATACCATAGCTTTAGAATACATCCTAACAGCCAGCAGTGCAACTCCTATAATTTTTTAAACCTCAAGACTGTGTTGGCTATTATTGGGCCATATACATATATTTTAGAAGGAGCTTGTTAAATTATAGAAAGAAATCTTCTACTATTTTAATTCAGATTCCATAGAAATGTAAATCAGTTTGATAAGAATTATAATCTTTACAACATCAAGCACTCTAATCTATGAATATAGCACTCTTTCATTTAGTTCTTTATTTTTCACAATATTTCAATCATTTTGTAGTGTATTTTTAGAGATTTTTGTACTCATTTTTTTAAGATTGTTTTTTCTTGGCATTTGATATATGTGATGCTATTACTTATACAGTCATGTGTTGCATCATGATATTTTGGTCAACGATGGACCACATATATAGGATAATAGTCTCATAAGATTATAATGAAGCTGAAAATTCCTATCACTTAGTGAGTCTTAGCCCTTGTAAGGTAGTACTACAATGCATTACTGTTTTGGGCTGAACTCAGTCTATCAATAGTAGAGCTCTAGGCTAGAAATGCTGGGGAGCACTCATGTGGGCCTTGGTGAGCTTCCCACAGACATTACCCCTTTCTAAATCAATGTTACAAGTGGACTGACACTGTATTGCAAAACACCCTTCAGCAATAGCCATGAGAAAACTTTTAATTACAGAGAGTGAATGAGAGAGAGAGAGACAGAGAGACAGAGAGAGAGAAATGGGCTTGGGGTTCTGTTTTTATTGGGGTCAAGGGTGAGGGTTCTGTGGGCTCACTCTTTATTGGTGAATTTAAAACATAAGAGTTGGAATATAAAGCATAGGAAGAGAATAAACAAGTAGGCCAAATGGTCAGTTATCAAAATCAACCAAAATCTCTAAAACAAAGAAGCCTAACTCAATATCTACTGTGGTGTGGCTGACAGTGTGTTTATTCCTGATAGTCTTCCTTAAAGTGGATGCTTCTTTGAAGTAGATGTCTCAGAAATCAAAGCTTAAAGTTGAGCACTTGCGTTGCAACAAGAAAAGCCAACTGTCAAGGCTTAACACTACAATTACTCATGTGTCTGTGGTGATGCTGGTGTACACAAACCTACTGAGCTGCCAGTTCTGTAAAAGCATAGCACAAGCAATTATAATAATAGGCTATACCATCTAGGTTTGTGTAAATGTCCTCGATGATGCTCCCACAAAGATGAAAATGTGCAGTGAGGCATTTCTCAGAATGTATCCCTGTTGTTAAGCAGCCCATGACTGTAGTGTTTTATTTGCTAATATAACAAAATGCAGTTGATAACCACTTCGCTAAAAATGTTTCTGAATGTATCTATTAATTTGAACAAGTTTCCTATAGATTCTTTTGATTTCTTGATTAATCCATTAGTTTAGTTTATTAAATTAATATAAATTAATTTTTTAATGATTTTGCTAATTCCTTTTAAATCCTTGTGCTTTTTATTTCTTTCTCTTTTCTTTCTCCACTATTTTCAGTAAAATGTTAAATAATAAGCATGTCTTACTTGTTCTCCAATTTTCAAAGGGAAATTGTCAACATTTCATTATCAAATGTTAGGCTTGCTGTAGAGGGTTGTATAAATAGCTTTTATTTCACCTTCATTTTTGCTGGATATAGAATTACAGGTTGCTAGGAATTTTCTTTGAACACTTTAAAAACATCTCTTCTGGTTTTCATTGCACTGGTTCTGAATGACTTACCTAGATCCCATATGAGTTCTTGACTATGGCCATTGGCAGTTTAGACTTTTAAATAATTTTATGCAATAAGAATAACTGAATAATATTATGGCATAATTGATAGCATGCTTATTTGGCCTATTATCTGCATCCATGAAGACAAAAATCTTCATTAAAAAGTGAAACTATACTATTGCTATTGGCTGTGCTAATTCTATTAAGTGTATGCAAGAATGGAATTATGATGTTTAAGTCATCCTGATTTTCTAGATCTGGGTAATTATTTCAGTTGGACTTGAGACTCACTTTTCCATTTTCTCTTTTTATGGCTTGGTATATACTTTACTTCTAGTGTAGAAAAGTAGGGATAGAGAGCAAACAAAATGATAAAATAAACACCACTTTTAAAGTATTGAAGAAAAAAATTCTACACATTGTTTATGTTGACTATGTGAAATGTGCCAGCTGCATCATTCTTTACAAAATGTTTATAGGAAATGCATATTATAAAAATTTTATTAACCAGAAAGTTCATTTGGACCTGGGCCTTGATGAAACTCCAGAATCTGTTGCAATTCTAGATCATTTATCAAGCTATCCTTGGGAAAGTGACATACATTCAATATAAACTAAATGTTTGTTTACTGGAATTTTATATTTAAAATTTACCAAATGGTTATTTAATGTAATGGTTACCATTTACCTACTTGAAAAGCAATAACACTACAACTAAAGATAAGACTTCAAGAATGACTGAGCTTTTTTTTTTGCAGTTTTTCGCAAAGTTACAAGGTATGTAAATTCTATAATGATGGATTCTGGAGTCACATTGCTTGAGTTTGTGTTCTAGTCTATCTCTTATTGTTTGTCTTTCTTAATTTGTAAAGCAGGCTTTATAGCAATTATTATTTCAGAGTGTTGTTGTAAGAATTAATAACATTCCATGTCACATATTAATTCCATAAATACTGATATTAGCATTAATATTAATGATTGATAAATACTAAACAATAATGAATAGATATTTTTCTATATGTCATCTGCCAAAAAGACATTTTAAAATTGTTCAAGTGAATGTATTTTCTGGCCAGGGTAATATTTAAAACAGGATTCCTTAAAAAATATGCTGCTTGAGGGCAAAGGACATAAAATACACATACATTCAGGCATATATTATGAACTATTCAATGGCAAAGGAAAGCAACTCAAATATGTTTTATATTTTATTAAGTACTCAGAGTTATGGTCTATGTTTTGCCAAATTAATCATTATATTTATAGGTTTTCTTTAATAAACTTGAAAAACCTAAATTTCATTTAAAAGACTTAGATTTAAAACACACCCTAGATATAAATTCAGATAAACTGCTACTCTGTTTCATTTAAAATGAAGGTGTGAAATTATAGTTTTAACTTTATTTTTTCAATAACAAATGTTTGGTGAATGTCAAAGTTTCACATATGTTTAAAAAACCTACATTATAAAATTACATAAAATGAAAAAATGTCATGTCTTGCCTTTGATCCAAAAGAAATCCAATGGAGGTCAAGGTCAGAATAATGAAGCAAACCCTCAGAAAAAGAGTGACCTGTGATAGTGCCTGTCAAACAAACAGAGACCAACAGATCCTTTAGGAGAGTTATCCGAAGGCACATTAGAATTTAAAGCTGACAATGAACACAGCCCAAATTTTATTTTACACCATTTGTCACTGACATTTTTTTTTAAAAAGGTTGATATTTTAAAAAAGAGGATGTTTTGATTTTCATAATGTTATTTAGTTATATTTTTAGACACTTGAAGAATGAATTAGATAATTCCACAATGATATTTTGCTTAATGTATTCTTTCTAAAAATTCTCCTTTAAAGTTTTGATTTTCATGACTTTTCGAAGTACCTATGCCCCCGTGTATAGATAAATCACTTACATTTTTATGAATAAATACCATATTCCAATAGCTATTTTTAATACCACCGAGTCTTTGTGGTTTCATATGCAAAGCTGTCTTTAATATAGAAAATATTTAAAGAAGAATGTGTTTGAGTGCAAACATATATGAAAGAGATTGCACACATATTCACATTCATATTTGATAGAAAATGTTTGTAATGTCAAAGATTACCTTTTAAGTTATTGTAACAGAACAAGATATTTTGTCATAATTATAATTATGCAATTTGTTTATATGTCAAAATTTAATACTAATATTTTTTGAGAATCTACTGTTTTATAGCTTATCTGCTATATGTTTCATATACTTTAATTCTTTATACAATGTTAACAACCTTTTTTGTTATATCTGCTTCACATATGAAAAAACAAACAAACAAACTGGGACTCAAAGGACTAAGTAATTTTTCCATCATCACAAAGAAATAAATGATGCCATGAAATTTTAAATAGATCTTTTCAGGTCCCAATGTTTAACAACCGCAGAATACATATGAGCCAGAAGCTTAAAAGGAGCAGGAACAGAGATCTAAATTGAAGTCACATAGCTAATATTTGGGGCCAGATGAATACTGCTTTAGATTGAAAGTGAATCAGTAAAAGCAAGGAGTTGGATACACAGACCCTAGATAATTCCCCTACTCACTGATGATGTTTACATTTCGCCTTTATGAGAATATCAGAATGTAATACAACAGGTTGGCAAAAATAGTGATCAAAACATTATTATACAAACATTTTTCTCTTTCCTTTTTCCTGAAATAACTAGAGGTAATTTCAACTATTATTAACTAATATTTATATCTAACAAATTGCATCTGTTCAAAGTTATATACAATAAGCAAAAGCCTCTAGTTGCAATTGCTGCTCACATCTAATACCCTAGCTCCACTCCATCTTATAAACCAGCTCTATTTCTCATGGACAATTTCTTACACCTCTCTATTTACCATACATATGCCTGGGATGGCACACGAAACTGCTGAGTAGTCATAAATCTGAAGAAAAGTATCAGAATGTTTAGGACATGGGGATAATGTTAAGTATGAGATATAGGATGCGGAGCTCAGTCAATGCCAGAATGTTTTAGTGCAGAGCAGGAGAGTGTTTGGATATGTGGAATTCAGCAGTGTGACTGCTTTGGGACAATGAAGCAAAAATGACCTGAAAAATATTTTCTTGGTGGCAGAAGTAACAAGGTGTGCTTGAATAGATTAATATTTGCTTAAGGGAAGCATTTTATATTTAAAGAAAAATGTCTCTTTCACCATTATTGCTTTATTTTTATATTTTAGGGAGAAATTCATATGGAAGGGAGAAATGAGTTGTGCCCAAACACTATAGCATGATTTTAAATGTTCTATAAAAATATAGGGTTTTGAATTATGCAAACCTATCTGCCATGGAAACATGGGCAAATTATTCCACATTTCTAAAACCCCATTACGTGCTTGGTACATTTGAAAAAAAACAAAAACAAAAACTGAGTTTGGCAAGGACTATAATAAAATGCTTAAAAGAGTGCTTGCCACAAAGTAAGAAGTCGATTAATGGTCATGATGATTATCATTGTTGCAATGTTCAGGCTATACTAATTTTCCAAATGGCATTTAGGCTAATCTTATTTATAACAAGATAAAAAGCACAAATAAAATGTCCATTAGCTCTTACAAATATCACAGGAAATTCAGAGACAGAACAAAATATATATATATTTTTGTTTTGGTTAGGGAATTCGTAATCCTTGCACTAAACAAACAAACAAACTCTTTTTGCAAATTGCTTCCTGGTTATGGAAGTCAGAGTGAAAACCAAATAAATACAGCTCTCCAGCTGTCTTGTCAACATCTCTACTTGGCTAATAGGAGACTATAACTTAGTTTGTCTACAACTCTGTATTTGATTTCCTCCTCCATATCACACATTTCCCAGTTTTCTTCATCTTAGGAATGGTACTTCCAGTTTTTCAGTTGCTCAAGCCCAAACCTCTGATTCATCCCTGACTCTCTCTCACTGTCTACTTCTAATACATCAGAGATAAATGTCAGCATTTTATTAGAAGCATACCCAGAATAAAGATATCACCCTCTTACCATTCCATGAAAAAATTCTGATGGTCAACATAACTACCTTTTATATTTCCTAATGTTGCAGAAAAATCAAACCGGTGAGAAACCAAGCACCACTTGAAGAGTTGGAGAACTCAGGTTTATTACGCTGGTGGTCCCAGAAGAGCTAGCGCTCTGAAGATCTGGGTCATGAGCTCAAGGGTAACCTTACTTTTATAAGGCTTATCCGCACAGTTACGGTTGGCAGGAGCTGATTGGTTAATTTGTCCTCAGGCGGTTACAGAGCGCAGGAGTTGCTATGGGCTATGGGCTATGGGCAGTTACAGAGAATAAGCAAAGGGGATACATCTGTTATCTAGACAGAACAAGCAAAGGGGAGGCTGAGTCTTCACTTGATCTCAAGGTCACCCTGCCCTTATGCCACAAGCATGTCTACAGAAGCAGAACAAAGAGCTGATTACAAGGTTAGCCATCTGAGTGGAAAATTTCTCTTCACTAATATAGTAAATTTTGCAAAAGGAAATAATCTGCCTCATACACTATGTCCTAAAACAATACTATGCTACTATATTTAAATTGTTGTATTACTTTGTGTATTGTCAAAGATTATTTAATAATTTTTCAATGATTTTATTGTAAGGACTTAGAAAAAAGTACCTGGACTTTGTTATTATAACAAGGTGATGTATTTTTATTTTTTATTTTTTTGAATTTTTTAATTTTTCAAATGTAGTTGGCATACAATATTATATTAGTTTCAGCTGTATGATATAGTGATTAGACATTTATATAACTTACAAAGTAGTCACCTCAATAAATCTAGCACCCACCTGTCACCATATATAGTTATTAAAATATCATTGACGATATTTTTTATGCTATACCTTACATCTCCATGATTATTTTGTAAACATCACTTTGTGCTTCTTAATCCTTTCTCCTTTTTCATTCCCTGCCCCGCCCCCCGCAACCATGCTCCCATCTGGCAACCATCAAAATGTTCTCTGTATCTATGAGTTCCTTTCTGTTTGGTTTGTTTATTTTGTTCTTTAGATTCCATATGTAAGTGAAATCATATGGCATTTGTCTTTGTCTGACTTACTCCACTCAGCACAAGATCCTCTAGGTCCATCCATGTTGTGGCAGAATGCAAGATTGCAATCTTTTCTATGGCTGAGTAATATTTCATTGTATGCCTGTACCAACTCTTCTTTATCCATTCATCCATTGATGGACACCCAGGTTGCCTCTGTATCTTGGCTATTGTAAACAATGCTACAGTGAAAATATGGATTGACATCTCCCTTTTGAAGTAGTGTTTTCAGTTTCTTTAGATAAATTCCCAGAAGTGGGATTACTGTGTCCTTCTTTGTCCCTTGTTATAGTTGATTTAAAGTCTACTTTGTCTGGCATTAGTATTGCTACCCCAGCTTTGTCGGTTTGTTTCCATTTTATGAAATATCTTTTTCCCTCCCTTTATTTTCAGTCTGTGTGTGTCTTTCAATCTGAAGAGAGTCTCTTATAGGCAGCATATGTGAGGTCTTGTTTTTTTTTTTTTTTTACCCATTTATCCACTCTATCTTTTGATTGGAACATTTAATTCATTTACATTTAAAACAATTGTTATTAGATATCTTGTTATTGCCATTTTATTATTCATAGTTTTGATCCTCCTCCCCCTCCTTAAAGTTCTTCTAACATTCCTCATAACACTGGTTTAGCTTTTTCTTGTCTGAGAAGCTCTTTATCTGTCCTTCAAGTCTAAATGATAGCTTTGCTGAACAGAGTAATCTGGATTGTAAGTCCTTGCTTTTCATCACTTTGAATATTTTGTGCCAATCCCTTCTGGTCTGCAGTTTCTGTTGAGAAATCAGCTGACAGTCTTATGGGAGCACTCTTGTAGGTAACTAACTGCTTTTCTCTAGCTGTTTTAAAGATTCTCTCTTTATCTTTAACCTTTGACATTTTAATTATGATGCGTCTTGGTGTGGGCCTGTTTGGGTTCATCTTGTTTGGGACACTGTGCACTTCCTGGGCTTGTATGCCTATTTCTTGCACCTGACAGGTTAGAGAAAAATGATCTTGCACCTGACAGGTTAGGGAAA